TAAACCCTGTAATGCACGCAATGTTCATGTCCCTCCAAAATTCAAATGCTGAAGTCCTAATAATCATGTGACAGTATTAGAAATGGGGGCCTTTGGAAGATTATTAGGTTGAGGCGAGTCCACGAGACTGGTTCCCCCCGATAGGATCAGTGTTCTTATGGGAAGAGACCAGAGATATTGCACTCCGTCTCTCTCCAGCATGTGAGGAGACAGCAAGAAGTCAGGTGTCTGCAAGGGAGCCCTCACCGGTAACTGAATCTGACAGCAACTTGATCTTGGCCTTTTCATCCTCTAGAACCTCAGAAAATGAACTTTCTGGGTAAGACGCCCAGTCTGTGGTATTATATCGTAGCTGCCTGAACTGTTAAGACAGATCTTTTTTGTAGGACCATTGGAATATATGTACTGTATAAAAAGCACCTATTATGATGACTCACACCTACTGGGTGTTTAAGAAATGGCAGTAATGATGAATTTTACCCAGATAAACCACCCTCGTATTTGGGTGGTTTTTTTTGTTTGTTTTTTTAATGCCAGATATGTCAGAGAAAATCCAATTTCAAGGAAGTCCAAGGCAGCCAAAGTTGCTTTAGTAAGTGAAATTAGATTTTCCCTATTAGGGCATCTGTTATTTTACCTGGAGATAGGGGGTTCTTCTTTGTATAGATACAAGTCAGAGCCCCTAGAATTTTTTTCAAATACGAATTCCTTCCGTGCTTTCCAGTTAACCTTCCATCCAAACCACCTCTACTTTTCTTCATGTCTTCCCCACCAAAATTTAGCCCTCCTTTAGAACACAGAAGGAAACACCAGGGACGTACACACATAAGGAGACAACCATGTGAACAGGCAGCAAGTGGGCAGTCTTCTGCATACCAAGGGAAGAGGCCTCAGGGAAAACCAATCCTGCAGGCACCTTGATCTTGGACTTCCAGTCTCCACAACCATGAGAAAATTTATTTCACATGTTTAAGCCACCCTGTCTACAGTCATTTGTTATGGCAGCCCTAAGAAACTAATACAATGGCCTAAGCAGAGATTTCTTCCTGGATTATCTCTGATGCCAAATTCATACATAAGAGCCCCAGTAGGAGAAGTCAAGGCATGGTACATGAGGATACCCGTCTGTGTCGGTCCAGGTTTGACATCAAGAATCACGCTCCATGGGGCTCTCTGTGTTCAGGGTAGGGCTGTGCCCTCAGTCCTCGCTCAGGCTTTTCACCTCGACTCCTTGCAGGCCCCGGAATTCCTCTTTCGTTCAACATCAGGTTACTCATGTACATCAAGGCTCTTGTGTACCTGATGGACCCGTAGAATAAGTGAGGAATTACTCAGCCTCACAGACCTGCTGCAGCCTTCTAGGTCTGAGAGAAGACACAGGCTGGTCTCTCTGTGACTTCATTTATTATGGGGTATTAATCTCTTCAGTTCCCATTCGTCAGATTCTTCTTCTTGGTCCCTGTACCTTCTCTGAGAGGCTTTGGGGAAAATGCCATATCACTTCAATCTTTTGATTAGTTTCCCTTCTGCAAACCTTGCAGAGGAAAGGCTGTGTCCCAGGAGTGATGGGAGATGGCGAGGCCAAAGCACAAGCAGAGAGCCCAGGACTGGTGTCCTGCTGCCAGAAACAACACACACACACACACACACACACACACACACACACAAACACACACAAACATACTGATTTATGCCTTTGCTTCACCAGCCAGACATAGCCACTTATTTAACTTCTGTTCAAATATATCTACTTTCTTTAGGGAAGGACTAAGCCTAATGATTTTGTGAGCCCCAAATCTTTTCAGTTTTACCAAAAGTGATTTTGTAGACGATGAAATTGTCCACAAATAACTCCTTTCTCCTTTCACACCTCACATTTACTTTGGTATTTTTATTGCTTATCCCTTGGGCTGTGTATTCCAAAACAGTACTTTGGGTACGCTTTTTATCACCTGTAATACATTTTGAGGTAATGAGGAAAAAATAAATAATGACAAAAGGTCTGCCTGAGGTTGGGTGTGGGGACCAGTGGGGACTCTGGAGGAATTCAGAGCCAGGGTCTAGTCCAGGGTCTATGTCACTCGCGAGCCTTGTGAATCTGAGAAGATTGCAAGTTCTTCATCTGCAGAATAAATCTTATAAATGCTATCATGAAGGACTTTGGCACTTACGCTATGGGTACGAATCACCTGGCACCGTGTTGGGCAATGGTTGGGTCTTTAATGAATTGCCAAGTTTATTTTAATCCAAGATGATAACAACCTTCCCTCACAGAATATTACTTCCAGAATATATTACAGAATATGCCACTCCAAACGACATAGAAATCCACTTCAGCCGAAATGCTGCTGAGCATATGTAGTGTGTCCCCTTTAGAGCATCCATCATTTAATTTGGTTGCGGGGTTGTGTTCTCTAGCTGGAGGCAACTCAAGTTTCCTGTTTTGTGTGGAGGACCAACGATCTCCTTCCCAGGTGCCTTTCCTTCTAATCCACTTCTATTTCTATTGATTTCATCATCAGCAAAAATCGACCCCTGCCTTAGAGTTTCACAAATTACACTTAGAGTAACCTAATTGAAATCTCCTTTTAATGGAGTGCGCTCTGGCTATTCCTAGCCCAGGACAAGAGTGACAGTTCTGTGGATTCTTGGCATCTCATTTCAAGGTGGTGTCACTCATATTTCCCAGAAACTCACTAGACAACATTTGCCCAAAACACCCAGTTTGCGCATTGCATTCACCTGCACTGGGACATGCGCATGGGAAGCCTTCTACTCCTACTGCAGATGGTGTTTACTTTCTGGTGTGCACAAAATTGCAAAGCAACTATTAGGCACAGTTTCCGATTCCTGGCTTAGTCTTTGAATCCTGAGATTAAGCGTCTCTTGGAGTGGCCTCCATTCACGACTCCCACAGCCTCTCTTAATCCACAATGCAGCCTCACTTAAATTAAGTCACATGGAGTCACTTGCCATTTCCTAAGACTTCCAACGGCATCGATCAGGATACTTATCCTTGCCTGCTTTCACCTGAAATCTCCTCTTCCCCATCCCCTCCTTAGACTTGTCCTTTATGTCTTAGATGTTATCTCACCGTCTGCATGTATGATAGCTGCTGCTGGACTAAATTCTACAGGCAGTGGCTGGATCTTCTCTTTCTTAACATCCCCAGTAGTATCACGGTGATTTCCAAGGGGAAGATGCTTAATTAACACTTGGAAAATAATAATAAAAATTAATAAAAAGAGTGAGCAAGAATTCTAATTTATTATACTTTCAATTTTAACACAGTTTGAATAAACTAAGGAAATCCTGATTTATATCATTTAATTTTTCCAGCAAAGAACAAAAAGAATATAGCCAACTAGGAATTAACCACTCCACTTCTGTTTTACCATTTTATGACCCCAACTGCTTTCCTCTGGGGTTCTTTCACATTTTCACGAAAATCCATATTCCAGTGCCAATGAAAGTTTTTCCATTTGTTTAGAAATAACAAAACTCTTGGTCATAAGCCTGAAAATCAGCAATAAATGTGTGCTCATTAACAGACTTTAAGAAACTGAGACTGTGAAAGAAAATAAATGTTCAATTACAAGGAACACTTTAATTAAAAATAATAAGGCAAACCAAGAATTAAACATCTTTTGTATTTCTGTTTTTACTTTTTTTTTCCTCTTTCCATCTTGTGATTTCAGCTATTTAACTGTGGGGTTAATTCACATTTCCATTTAAACCCCTATTCCATTACCACGTTACCTTGTTCTGGATCATAAAAGAATATGAATGGTTCTTACATTTGTTTTATAAATAAGAAATCTGTAACTTTCAAACCTGTTAAACAGGAACAAATGTGAGGGATACGTATGTAATCTGAAGCAAAGTAAAACTTCATTTAATAGGAACAACCCTGAAAAATAACAAAGAAGAAAATCTGAGCCTACAAGTTGTTCATGTAAAACAGGAAAACAGAGAAGGTATAGAACTTGTTTCCTGCAGCCCCTACTACTCTCCACTACTTAGAAGATTCACTGCTCTCTTCAAACACAAAGTGAAAACTCTACCTCAGACCTCACTAGATATGGGAGGAGCTGCGGGGCATGGGCCTCAAACCCACCCTGGCCCTGGCAACGGTGCCGACCCTGCCTGCATCTATCACTACGGCTCTCTCTACCTCATCTCTCAAAGCATCTTCGTACAGGTTTGGGAAGGAACTAGGCACAGTATCATCGATCTTGGCCAAAATTTCCAGGACTTCCATCTTGCTGGTTTCAGCATGGGCTTTTGGTCCCCACAGGAATTCACAGCTTGGAGGATCCCTGTTGGGCACCTGCCGATACTCCAGGTACTTTTCCTGCACCAGATCTTTTGAGATGAGCTTCTGGGGCTCCCCATACACTAAGTGCCTCCTCCAAGCATACATCCCCAACGTATGCAGGAATGCCCAGATCTCCTCCTCATTGGCACGGTTACCGTTCATGAAGATCACACACGGGAGCATCAACAGGAGACCGGTCCTGGGGAACCTCTCATCACCACTCAGATTTCCCTCGCTGGAGGGGCCCAGCTTGCTGACGAGGTCAAAGGACTGACCACTGGCACTTACTTCCTTCAGTTCAAGGCCAAGGACTAGCTCCAAGCACTCAGAGGTTCTTCTGAGGATCTCGGGTAAGTGCTCCTGTACTTTTTGTTGACAACCTTCAGCATGTCTGCCTTGGTAATGGGCTCTTTATTGCTGTACTTCTTGAGCAGGAATTGCACCAACATACTCGCCTTCTTGGTCAGAAGATCTCTGCGTGACTTCTGAGTGGAGGGTGCTGCCTGGGAGGTGCTTGTACTGTTCTCATCTGGAGTCTCAGCATCCTCATCAGCTCTTGTGCTTGAAACACCTGCATCAGGAGAGCTAGTGGATGGAGCTCTCTGAGGCTCCTGGGGAATGGAGGCATCAGGGGAGCTGTGGAAAGTACCCCTCCAAGCAGGAGAGGAGAGGAAGGAGGAAGAAGAGGAGGGGGACTCTTCTTCCTGTGCTGCAGCGGCCTCAGCAGCCCTGAGACACTGGGTCTCCTTACGGGTCTGTTGGCGTTTCTCAAGGGCACAGAGCTTACTCTTCTGACCCCGAGGCATGATGACAATGCTCAGGGACAGCAGGCAGGAGTGTGGGTAAGACGGCTGACAAGGCAGGCACCTGGATGGGGGAGAACGACATCGTGTGAGCACCTGCAGCAGGGAAAGATCACCTTGGCTTTAACCAAGCCCCTCCTGTAGGTTTCCGGGAGGGCACTGCTCTAGGAACCCACAAGGCTCCTGTTCTCCTGGTCAGCCTGCCCCCTGAGAACCCTGTAAAGGATTTAGAGTGAGTCTGAGGCCACTACATGACAGCAAAGTTTGGGGCTTACTGAGGTGACAGTAGGGCCTGGCGGTGGGCCCTCTCTCTTCAGGGTTTTGGGTCCTCTCTGTTGAAATTCAAGACCATCATGTCAAGTGTTGGCAAGTCCTGGATTCCCACTTCTCCACTGCTGTGAAATTGTTAGTATAAACTTCCATAGTACCAAGGAGGAAATGAAGGAGTGCTTCAACCCACCGCTTTAATCAGGGGACTCTCAAATCTCCTAGGGCTGACAAGAAAGGAGATACTTCAGTGCACTTGTATTTATGTGGAGGGTGGCCCCCACAGTGATCAGAGTCCTCACCATGACTCTTCACATCACCTGGGAATCGTCCTCTGCTTACCTGTTACCAGTCCCTTAGAACAAGGCCCCCACCCCCACCTCCCACACTCTTTCAAAGTCAAAGTGAGGGAGCGCCTCAGTCTTTAGACCTGTGCAAGCCCATGTCAGAGGCACAGGTCTGTATGCCCTTCACCCCCCCCAACCCCCTTCTGGGACACGGAGTTCCCTCAGTCTTCACGAGGTTCCTCTCCTTAACTCGGGATTTCTCCCTCTGCTGACCTCAGTCCACCAACCTCAGAGCAAGGCCTTCATTCCTTGAGACCCCTCAGGGAAAGGGAATGGACTTGGGCCTAGCACCCATCCCTGGGGACTCCTGGGATGACAGCAGGGGTGGGATGAGGCGGGGCTCTGTGTGGCCTCCTCTTTTCAGGGGGAGGGGAATTACGGGTGTCAGGGGAGTGTCTGCACCATTGTAACTCAGGATACCCACCGAGACACCTGAGAAGACTTGGGACACATCCCTCAGTTGACCTTGGGGCCACACCTCTCAGACCAAAGCTTCACCGGCGACCACCTGATGAGGTGGAAGTCAGGGCCAGCCACTTCTGGCCACTCACACTGCCCTTCAGCAGGGGTGGGGCTCTGTCGGTGCCCCTCTGTTCTGAGCAGGAGGGGGGATCCTGAGAATGCACATAATATCCTTTGACTGCCTCTTCGCGGGCCCTGGGATTTCTGTCTTTGCTGAGCTGTGTCAGTGAGGCTCAGACCAAGGGTCTCATTTTTCTGAGAGTCTAGAGTGAGAAGTAAGGTGGATCCTGCACCCCGGAGCCAGGCTTGGGACCTCCTAAGACTGACGTGAGGGGTGGAGCTCTGTGGGACCCCCTATTCTGAGGTGCATGGTGTCCTCTGTCTTCATTCAGGGTCTTCCCTTGACTCCTAGTAGGTGCTAGGCCACCTCCCTTCTACTGAGTAGAGGACAGCCCCTCAGACCAAAGACCTCTATTACCTGGGAATTCTGATGGGAAGTACAGACCCACCTCATTGGACCTCTACTTCCTGTGTCCTTCTAGATGTGGCTGCTGCAGGTAAATCTTGTTGGGGTTGGGGAGTAGGGGCTCCTATCTCTTCTGAGGTGTGGAGTCCCTCAGTCCTCATTCCAAGTCCTCATACCGGCTGCTGGCAGTGCCTGGTATTCCTCCCTTTTCTGTTATGAATCCATCCCCTTCTTCCAACCGTGGCTGGCAAAATCTCTTCGGAGAAAGTGAAGGGACTCTTGGGCCTTACAGCTATGTCTGAGGCCTCTCTTGGCTTACATCAATATATATTTATTGCAGCGCCATTTACAATAGCCAAGAATTGGACCAAACTAAATATCCATTGTCAGATGACTGAAAAGGAAAATGTGGTATATTTACACAATGGAATACTACTCTGCCATTAAAAGAATGAAATACTTCCATTTGCAGCAACATGGATGAACTCAGAGAAAGTTAGGTTAAGTGAAATAAGCTTGGAACAGAAAAAGATACACCACATGTTCTCACTCATAAGTGGGGGCTAAAAAAATAAAAAAAGAATGAAAGAAACAACAATCACAATAATATGTTGAATTTTCAAAAGGAGAGAACTGAACTGAGGTTACTAGAGGTGGGAAGGGGGGATGGGTAAGGAAGTAATTGTATGATGTTGAATATACTAATTATCCTGATTTGAGCATCACATATTGCACACAGGAATCGATAGTCAACTGTGTACCCCACAGACATGTACAATCAATTATGTTTCAATAAAAATAAATAAAAAATAATCAATGGCTGATTTATAATAATATTTAATATTAGGTAAAATAAATTCTTGACATATTTTTCTTGTAGTGTAATATATATTCTTGGCAGTTTGCTCCTCCACATAAATTTGAGCCAGCTTGGCAAGTTTATTAAAACAATCATAAAAAAAATAGGATAAAACTACCCAGGCCCAGTATTTTCTTGATAGCAACTTTTTAAAGTAACAAATCAAATTTATTAGACTTGAAATTATTCATATAGATAGAATATTTTACGATCTGTTTGGTCAGTCCTATTTTTCTAGTTTAGTTGTTTTCTAATGTATTGGCTTAGAATTGTCCATAATATCCTACAATATATTTTAGTATCTGAAGGAATAAAATTTGAAAATTTGCCCACTTATTCGTGATGTTTATTAGTGACCCTTTCTTTCATGGATCATCCTTGGAGAAGCTTTATTAACTTTGTTAAACATTTTAAATAATTACTTTCCACCTCTGTTTTATATTTATTTTCTATTTTATTAATTACCATTCTTAAATTTATTTCCTTCATTCTAATGTCTTTGTTGATATATTCTTCTTTACCGTTGAATTCTTAGCATGGATAAATTTAAGACTATTTTGTATTATAATATAGGATATACATTTTGTCTACATGCCACATAGCTGAGCTAATCTTGATATATAATGCTTCCCTTGCCTTTACTTTTAAGTAATAGCTAATATTTCGTTTACCCATTATAATTTTCATTCTTACTCAATGTATTAGAGTACTATTTATCAACTTCCAAATATAGTTGTTGAATTTCCAACTTAATTCCCTTGTGTAAGAAGCCATAGTCGTCATGGAAACAGTCCTTTGAAGCTTCTTAGATTGGCTTTTTGACTCAGTATATGGTCACTTGGATTAAGTGATCTCTGTGCCTAAATATAATGTATATTTATCACTGTGTGATTTTAATTTTCTTTGTCTATGCAATAGATCAAGCTTTTTAACGGTGTTGTTCAATTCTTATATGTTCTTTCTATATATATTTTTTCTGCTTGATATTCCAGTTTCTGATATATACTTCTAAAATCACTCTGATGTTGATTACTTTGTCCAATTCTTCTTCTGGTTATGTCTCTCTCTTGTTTGGCTTTGTTTATTGGATAACTTTTGTACACAATGCATATGAGTGAAATTTGAATCTTTTTTCAATACTTGAGATTGTTCTTCATTGCTCTAATACTTCCAACACTTAAAATCTAATTTGTATGAAATTAATAAGCTACACAATATTTCCTATAGTTGTTTTTACCTGGTACACATTTTTCATGACATTACATTTAATCTTTCTTCATATTTACTGTTTACATGGATCTCTTGTAAACAGCATGTTGTTGGACTATTTTTTCTAAAATTCTCAGCTTTTGTTTGACTGGGTCTTTATTTCTCCTTTATTTTTTGAAGGATGGTTTTGCCACATAGTAATCTTGGTTGGCAGGATTTTTTTTTTTTCTTTCAGCACTTTTGAATATATCATCTCACTCCCTGCTGGAGTGTAATGTTTTTGCTAAGAAATCTACTTATAACCTTATGGGAGCTCCTTGTACATGAAAAAATCACTTTTCTTTTTCTGCTTTCAAGATTATCTATATGCATTTGACATTTTACAGTTTGATTATAATGTGTCTCAGTGTGAGACTCTTTGGTTTCTTACTAGCTGGAGTCCTTTGAGCTTCTTGAATTTGGATGTCCATTTTTTTCTCTCAGATTTGGGAAGATTTTAGTCTTTGTTTTTTTTTAAAATAAGCTCTCTGCTCCTATATCTCTACTCCTTTTTGATATACCTTAATGCATGTATTGCTTCCTTTCATGGTGTTCCATAGATCCCTTAGGATTTCTTCATTTTATTCATTCTTATTTCATTTTTTCCTCTGACTCAATTTCAAACGGCCTGTTTTTGAGTTTGCTGATTCTTTCTTGTGCTTGATCAATTCTGCTGTTCAACAGCTCCTGATTATAATGATAGTTTCCTTGTCTACTTGTAGGCTTAAAAGTTTTTATTTATTAGTGGATTTAGTATCTGAAAATCCATAGAAATCATTTTAAGCTTCATTTAATATTTTCTTTTTTCCAGAGAGAACTCCCTTTTCTTTTTTTTCAGACATCTACACCACTTTATTATGGAATGTAGACCTTTATGTTATCAGTACAAAGTCTGTAGTATTTAATAGATAAAATTGAACCTTAATTTTTGTTTCTCCAGCCCTATGAATCTATCAGAAACATTTCCCAGCTTATTAGCTTCACCATCAACTCTTATATTTAGTGGATATCCCTAGGAAAGATCCCCAAATCCTCAACTCACCTTTATGGGTTTCCCTTTATTCCTGCCTTCCATGTTAGTTCTTCAATGCATTAAAACTAGTGATTTTTAAAAAATTGTATAAATGTTTGTTATTCTTTGTGGGAGGGTTGGTCCAAATTAACTAGTCTACTATTAATGGAAGCAGACATACTTGTTGTTTTTCTTTTACTTGTTTTGTTATGTTTATTGACCATTCTGACTCATATGTTCAGTCTTCCATTTGGTTTATCTAAACCTATTAACATATTCTTACAATATAAAGCTGATCATTCAAATTTCTATTGTGTTGGTTGGTCTTATTTTGCTGTTGTT